TGAAGATGGCGCATCAGCTGTGAGTAACTTCTTGGCGTACTTTCAATATGGTGCATATTTAAATATTGTTACGTGATTTTTTCATGAGCTGGGATAGCTTAGTTGGTATAGCGACTGGCTGTGGGCTGAATGACCGAGGGGTTGGAGTTCGAGTCCATTTATGGTCGCAGTTTTTTTTTTCCCATGTCATCCAGACCAGTTCTGGGGTCCACCCAACCTCCTATCTAATTGGTACCAGGGGTTCTTTCACCCGGAGATAAAGCGGCCGAGGCGTGAAGCTGACCACTCACCTCCAACCAGTGCTGAGGCCAAGAAAATATCGACCTATACATCCCTTCCATGTGCTTAACTATTTAAGCACTACGCCATGAAGACGTGGATGTATAGATTCAATTTTCTTGACCTCCGCACTAACTGGAGGTGAGTTGTCAGCTTCGCGCTCCTACCGCTTTACTCCCGGAGTAAGAGCCGTCGGTACCAATTGGATAGGAGGCTGAGTGGACCCCAGAACCGGTCTGAACGACGTGGAGAAGAGAAAATTCTTGAACCTACCGGGATTCGAACTCCTAACCTTCGGTCGTCCAGCCCGTAACCAGTCGCTATTACTGGCTACGCCATCAGGCAAACTCTGTTATTATCTTTCACTGTTTCAGGGGTAAAGAAGGCAATGAAATGCAACTGGAATGTGGATTAACTTGATTCGAAAGTGAACAGCTTGAAATTATATGTGTGATATTCCTGTTATCCTAAATCAGTACCTCATAAAGCGTGTGCCACGGAGTGATCTGCTGTGAGAACTACAGACTACAGAAATAATCGTCAATACTAATTCAGAATAACTGGGTTTTGGGCTTCATCCATCGTCCAGTATTCTAGAAACTAGAAAACACAACAATTCGGAAACAGATCAGTTTTCCGAAACGTTGTGTTTTCTAGTGTCTAGAATACTGGACGATGGACAAAGTCCAAAAACCCAGTGATTCTGAGTGTTATACACAATCGTCAGAACCATTTAGAATCTAGTGGGTGCTGATTGTTGACTGTTTAGTGACGTGTATACTTTGTACGGATGAATATGATTGCTGTTACATTCAGAGCTTTTTATTCCCGCCGATGTGGATACCTACCTGCAAACAGCTGTTGCGCTTCGGTAAATCTGTCAGTGAATAAAAGTCGTGCAGTTGCCGGCGTCTGGAACCAAGCGTAACAGTATTGGCAAATGTGTTTTCATGTAGTATGCTCTGTATATTTATTGTGCATTACGAGTGGGGTAGAAACAAAATGATTTTCTCTGCAACTTCATGTACTGATGTTGGAAATTGGGACAGGCTCAGAGAAAGGATAGTACGGATATTTGGAAATGTGTTTTGTCACTCAGAGACAATAATTACTTTACATGGTCTGTGCAGGTTAACACGAATGCAAAAATTATTAAAGAAAAAACTTACATATTATTACGATAAATATAAAATTATTATTTAATAGAAATGTTTACCCCTGAATTATTAAAGATGTACTGGAAGAATACTGAAATTACATACCGATTACCTTATTTTTAGTTGTTTGTATGACGACTGAGTGAAATACGTCATATTGTAAACGGTTATCGATATCTCGATGTATGAATCATTTTCGTTCTAGGTTTTCTTCCAGTTAAATATTCGTTAATTCAGAGGCTGGAAAATTTTCATACAAAATATTACAAAATTTCAGACAATAAATATATAACAGATATACAGTATTATAACACGCACCAAGCTTAATGCTATCATTTGGTTCCTATTGTCGACAATCGAGTTTTGTCGATTCTTCTTCCTTGTTACTGAACGTGTTTTAGCACTGCTCCACTCAGAGATTACAATGAACCATTGTGTTAGTCGTGATGCCTCATAGATTTGTTGTTCTTTGGCTTTTAAAATAAAATACTCTTATTCTGTTAGAATATATACTTATATTGTCACCACAACTTTTCAAGAAATGAAAACAATGTAGTCAAAATGAACTACACGAGTCCACAGGTTAAGTAAAGTTGTCCGTGTGCTTAATTAATTTAGCATCATGCCAAGAAGACGTATACGGTCGTGGAGGTATAGCGCCACTATTCTCGACCTCGGCACAAAATGAATGCGAGTGATCAGCTTCACAATCCGGCCGCTTTACCCCCGTGGAAAGAGCTCCCGATACCCATTGGATAGGAGGCTGAGTGGGCCCCACGGTCAGTCTAAATGCTCTTGCCGGAAATGAACCCTCGGCCGTCCAACCCCTAGCCTATCACTACGCTGACTGAGCTATTTTGGTTCTACTAAACGTGTCTAACTGTAGTAGTAACAATTTCAGTAAATCCAAATAGTCATATTATGGGCTGTAACACCGTGTAGTCTTCTATGTTGATACCGAAGTTTTGGAGTAATATAACACTTCCATCTTCAGGACTGGAGTTTTTAAGGTGAAAAATATTTCGGTTATTTTGGCAATTTGCAAGCAAGGTTGTCGCGCAGACCCATAGAAGGGGGAGGGGGAATTGAGCCCGGTCCGGACCAATGGGAACTGAGTAGGAAAGCACTATGTTTTTCGTTACAGAAGAGAAACGGAATTGGGGTAGCACTCCATTTCCTAACCCACTTCCATGGGTCTCAATTTCTTGCAACCTGCTGTATAACCGAGCTAATTCATACCCCGAAGCTGGATGCAGCGTGTTCCTCCGAAACGCCAGTATCTGTCTCCAATACTACACTGCGTCACATTTCACAAGATATCAGTATGAAGATAACCATCGCGAGGAATTAAAAATTTATAAAATTTCGGAAATTTTTTCTTCGCAGTAATTTTATATTTATTCTGTCTGTAGCTCACCTGATGTACCAGATGATCAAATAAAGAAGGATTTGAAGGTCGTGGTCTTCTGGGTTGTTACGGCATATAGGCTGGAGCGTGTCTACCAAATAACACGAGGTCACATCCCAGAAGACCTCAGATCTCACAAGGAGGCGTTGAAATATCTGATCTGACAGCTAGCGAGCCTGGCAGTAACAATTCGGAATTTATGAGCTGGCAATGTCTGTTTACGTACATTTACCGATAATTTATTTACGCTGTTGAAAGTGTGGTTAGAAGATTCGTGCAGTTTAGAACTGTCTTTTTTTTTTATGGCAGACATGTTCCTTAAACCTGACCACAAAATAGTGTGACATGACAACGCGAATAGCGTGAAGTGCGGAACGGTTGAAATTGATGTTACCGCGAAGGTTATCGAATGGAAGCAGCACGAACTTCGCTTCATTCAGGCCGGCCATGTTTGCTCCACGTTATGGTGCGTCCTCAGATGGCGGGACAGAGCGGAGGCTTTTAACTGTAACATGTACACACAACTAAGTGGGTCAGGACACTGAACAGGAGACAGAAGGAGAAGGAAACAAAAAATAGTCGAAGAAGGGGAGATGGAATAAAAAGAGAAGATAGGAGGAAGAGGAGTAGAAGGAAAAAGAGAAAATTGAATAAGAAAAGAATGGGGAAAAAGCGAAGGAAAGCAAAATAGAAGAAGAAAATAAGCAGAAGAAGGGATAAGTAAGAAAAGAAGAAGAATAGGGGATGAGTAGAAGAGAAGAAGAGGAATAAATGAAGTAGGAGATGGAGGAAGAGGAGAAAGAGACGAAAAAACAAGACTACAAAGTAATGGAAACGAAGAAGGATAATAACGAAGAGAACGGGAAAGAAGAGGACAGTAATGAACAAGAAGCGCCTTGTATCTGAAAGGGATAAGCAAATAACCAGGAGTAGACAGCCGATAATGGGTAGTACTTCAGATTTTGAATTAGAATTAAGTCTGAAACATTATGTTTATAATGTTCTGTTATAAATGATTTGAAATTGGATGAAATCCTGAAAAAATAAAAAACAGGCACTTAGAAATATCAGTTGTGAGGGTGGGAAGAAGATGAAGCTGGCTCAGGATCGTGACAAGTGGCGTGCTTTAGCAATATCGGGTCCTGCGGCTATGTTATTTTCTTTAGCTATAGCAAGACGGATGTAGCATTGTGCATCAAATCTATCGTCACGAAACAGAAAGCGATAAGAGAGTAGAGCGAGGAAGAACCGAAGGAAAGTGTCTGTTCCATTAACACGTCAAATAAAAGAAACTGAATTCTGCAATTTAAAAAAGAGAGATTGTTTCGCTCCATTTGCTTTACGCTGCCTCTTTCTTAATAATGGACTCATTATCTTCAAAGGAAAGTTGTGGCTACGAAGTGCACTGTAAAGTGTTACAAAATAATTTTCTATATTCATGTATTCTTTATGGCAGCCAGGACTAACAGTTCCATTGTTTCTCAGCATAGGATTCGAAATGTGGGGGATTTGCGTGTTCGCTTGATGTTACATGTAGATTAGCTGTATTTCTTTTTCCTTTGCTTATATCACTAGTCCAGTGATAGTTCCAGCCATTTCCGACGTATTCAACTAAATAGGTGCCTCCCAAACTTTTCACACGTGGACGGAAACAATTTCAGTTTCCGAAACGTTGTTTTCGGAACATTAATCGATGGATAAAATTCAGAAACTCAGTATTCCTGAGCGTGATATACCATCATCAGAAAACTTCGGAATTTTCACAAAGAAATATTCGATCCCAGAAGTTTGTATACATCCTTACAGTAGCTTGTAGAAGCATAAAGTCCATTTAAATAATTAAAAATCCAGTTTCTGAGAATTAGAAAACACATTGAGTCTCCTTTTGGCTTATTTTGGACTTCACCCATCGTCTGGCATGTAAAAGACAAAAGACCACGACGTTTCGGAGACTGGATCTGTCTCCGTCCTCAGATGGAAAGGGAAGGATAAACCTACTCAGTTGGGCCCGAAAAGTCGTGGTCCTTTGTCTTTTACATACCAGACGATGAGTGAAGTCCAAAATAAACCAAAAGAAGTACAGTATACACCATCGTCAGAATTCTTTCAAGTCTAACATTGAGTCTCCATTGCAAATACCATTCAGTTAATACTGCTTAAGGAAAAAAAATCGTTGCTTATTTGTGAGTCTCGTATGAAAACCATACGCACACTCGATGCGGAATGTGCAGAGTTGTTTAATGTTCAAGCAGGTGGTATATATAGTAACCAATGTATTTTAAAATCCACCAGACTCGACAAATTATTCTTGTGAAATAGTTAACTGTTTTGTGAAGGTGCTAACTTGATGTAACGTATAGCTACAGATATGTATAAGTATAAGCTATATATACATATGTATACTGATTGTCTGTAGCATGAGACAGGCTCAGATAACATGCAATAGAAGTCCAAGATTTAATAACAGTACTACAATTTACTTTTCTTTCAGGTTTTTACCATTCCTCACTGATCACCCTCAATATCCTCAACAATTCATGAATCGACTTCTGGACTCTGGGCTGAAGGAAAATGATGCTGCTGGCAGATATGTACAGCACAGTGTTGTATCATTCCACTGAATTCATTCAACTGGCGAAGTCACGTTTTGAAGCCCTCAGAAAACCTAGGGCAAAATCTAAATTCATTATATAGTTGTTTCATAGATGTACACTAGATATCTTAGAAGTACCAAGGCCCGGTTGATCGTGTTTTGATCGTTTCTTTAAATAATTTTTTTTTACTCCATCATACAATGGTTTAACGTGTAACTGACTTAATTTCAGTGTAACCTTCAGTAATCTTGAAGTTCTAAATATTTTCAAAGTAATGTTACTGAAAAAATGTTAAAAATTTGTGATTAACTTGACACTGAACTGCATAAATAAATTTAAGGTTTAGTATAGTTTAAAATTAAACGATGCCATGATTTCCATAGTTGCCATCAGCGTGGAAACCGTGTTCAGGATGTGCTGAATAGTTGACAATCTGCAGCTTGCCATGTTTGTTGTAAAACCCATAGTGTCCCTTCACATGACCGTGTGTGTCCCTTTCTTCGTATCGGAACTGCCTATTATGCCTGTAAATACAGAAAAAGAACTGCAGTTCTATTGCGATAACTTACATTCTATCAGTGGAACTGGAGCCCTGTTGTCGCGTCTGTTCACGGAACAAATGACATCACACTTCCGAAAAGGAAACCCACTCCTCCTTATGAGCACTATTTCCCCCCACGATAATTGAGGAGCTATTTCAAGTAAATGGCGGCTCCGGACTAGAAAACTGAAATTAACGGCTGTGGGGATTCGTTGCGCTGACCACGCGACACCATCTATCCGCTAAAGTTGGCACTAACTTAGCTGAAAAACAGCAGTCGCTAGGTCGGTATAGTTTGCTTGGCGACTCAAGCAAAGGAGTTTGTTTTTGTTTGTTTGTGAGACCAAGTTTATCAGCTTACATCAGCAGAAACCGGTACGTTTAGAAATAAACTGTTACATCCATTGTCAAAGTTCAGTATTGGAGTTGTTGATTTCACTTCCCATCGACTCTGCTTCATGGAGTCAAATTGGTACGTCTTCTTCCACCGAACGTTATAAGTTCTTTGAAGTTACGAAAGAGACAATGAAAGAAAGAAGCGGGAAGGGCGAAAATGGAGAAGATAATAAATAAAGAAGAACGGAGGTGCACTTACCCTTTTCCTGTGTCAAAGCCGAATTTGTAGGAGTGAGGGCCATGCTGCCCATGCATCTGAAATTCAACTCTGTCTCCCCCACCGCCTCCACCGCCCCCGACGCCATAGCCGCCGACGCCTGCAGTTATGCCAGAGAATCCAGTCTCTGAAGTGATCTGATAATCATGACAAGTGAAGATATTTTAGTAAGAATTGTGTCATGTTTGTGTCTTACGTAAATCTGACGTAAATTGTACAATGAAGGTTCATCTACAGTGCTGTACTGTCATACCTCGTGTAGGCAACCTTAGGAAAAAAAAGTCCCGTGTATGTCTGAATTTCTCACCGGAGTATGTATAGTGGAATTTTGTTCGCAATACAACGATGACGTAAGAGTCTAGTCATTATGAAGCACCTCCTTTCCTATAAAAGAGGGAGCATATGAAGGATCGGAAGTTTCTTCAAACCAGCATGTACTCCATCGTGTAATGAGTCTTGGCTATGCAGTGAATTCCTACGGATCTTTTAGTCAAATCTGTGTTCTAAAACTAATATTTTCTTGGATACAACGCGATACAGTCTGGTAGTTTACACCCGTTTCGGAGGGATATGTTGCCTCCATCTTCAGGGTCGAAGAGTAAGCCGGGCAAGCGAAGAGTAAGAACAGTAGCCCAAGTGTCCGTCCGTGTTCTTACATTGGACTGGATGCATTCTCATGGCTTGTGACCCATTATGGACCCACGACCAAATTTTACATTTAACCTCAGGTAAAGCTATCTCTGTGACAGGCCGTGAAGGCCTAAAGTGTTGTGAGAGGTAGCGGCTCCCACATTATCTAGACAATCGACTCAAAGACGGCTGTGAGGTTGTCAGCCCTACGCTCCGTCCGCTCTTTACCCCCAGGAAGATTCCTGGTACTCATTTCTGTTAGAGGCTGAGTGGACCCCAGCGCCATAGTGCGGCTGTAAGAATTAGGTCAATTGAAAAAACAAATGACCTCATCGGGAATCGAAACTGTGGCCTCCCAGCTTGTAGCATAGTGCCTCAGCTAACTACGCTACCGCGTGCCCCTTTTATTCGGTATACATATATGTGGAGTGGTGTTCCTTCAGAATAATTCTATCTTGTTGGATATAACACTCTTTAGTCTGCTGAGAGAGATCTGCTTGCCGCTTGCTTCTTGCTGGTTTGTTAATTTGTTCACTCAACACTGAAGATAGAGGCGACATTTTCCTTCGAAACGTCGGTTGACTTAACAACGGACTACCTGGCATTATATCCCAGAAGCGATAACTCTTCATCTTAATTCATTGTTTCAACGGAGAAAGGAGGGAAGAAAGTAAAGACATGAAAGGAAAGGGAGAAATTGGTTGAATAAAGAAGATACGAAATAAAAGATTGTACATCGATATTAAGATAGATTTACGACTATTAGTGTTTATGAATTGAGTTCGTACTTCTCAGAAAACACATCGACCGGTTAATGCTACTTCAGGAGGCACTCGCTTGATTTTCCGAGAATCTCACCAAACCCATAAACAGGCTTTGTGGGAAACTGCAGAATTTCTTTAAAGGTAAAGGCAAAGTTGTCCCTGTGCTTAACTAATTAAGCACTACATCATGAAGGCGTATGTGGAGAGGATGTATAGATCCATATTTTCTTGACCTGGGCACAAGCTGGAGGTGAGTGGCCAGATTCACACCCCGGCCGCTTTACCCCCCGGGGAAAGAGCCCCCGGTACATATTGGATAGGAGACTGGGTGGACCCCAGAACAAGTCTAGACGACGTGGAGAAGAGAAAATTCTTGACCATACCGGGACTTCAACTCCAACCTCTGGGTCGTCCAGCCCGCAGCTAGTTGCTACACCGACTGCGCTACCCCGGCGCACAGTAGAATTTCTTTAGGTTACCGAAGATTTTATGTGTAATTATCAGTCTGGTTTAAGAGGTAAAAATGCATTTTAAAGTCCACATTACAATTTGTTGGACATGCGATTTCATTTGTTGTCAGCTGCTGAAACAGATATGTACAACTATGTACAATATATGAGTTACGTGTATGTACACCCCAACACTTACTGTAATCCTAGAGTGTACTTAAAGCTATTTGTCATGCTTACTTACTGAGACACGAATTGGGATGTTTTGTCCGTATTGTGGTCGTAGAATTTATGATGTAATGTAATCTAGTAGGTGGGTACAAATGATTTTTAGAATAATACTTACTTCATCTTCAAGCTACCATGAAGATGGAAGCAAACCCGAGAAGACCACAATATGAACACTAACCGTTGTGCAAACCTCAAATCTTACACCGAACGTTTAGTTTCGAAATAGTTTACTCTAATTCGATTTGGTGCAAGTGCTTTTGAATCTATGGAAGCAACTATTCGTGAGCAAAGCCACAAATTTACTACCGTGCATTTGGAAAGCAGGCGAAATAAGTGATACAAGTAAAGTTTTTTGTTTCTCTCTACCTGCTCATCAATCCCTGGTACTTTTCGTTTTGCTTGAGCGGGGAATAGAGTCAAATCTGCCTTTTGAAAACTGCTGGCTGCCACCAGTGGAGCAGGTAAACTCTGTTCTTTTATTTGTTTTCGTTCTTTCTTTGGTGGATTGGATACGATATCACTGTTAACAGTACTTAAAATACCAGCATCGGTCTTGGGATTTTTCTTTTTAATAGTATCCTTCTCTTTCTCCGGTCGCCATTTCTTGGGATATATATGATTTGGAGCCTTCGTAGTCTTTGCAGGAATTATTGGTTGAGGCAACTGAAGATTATCTTGCGTCTGTTGGGTCACTTTTTTCTCAGGATACTTCAATGCTACAGCTGGAAGCTGTACATTCTGCGATGGAACAGTTGCTGAGTATGGACCAGTAGGTTTCTGCTGAGACACTGCAGGAGGATTCAGGAGCAGATAAGGAGGTGCCAAAGGTAGAAACCCACCAAGTGCTGTGTACTTCTTCTCGCCAACAACGCTTATAGGAACCTGTGAAACGACACCTTGAGTAACTTGAGGGAGCTGATAATTCCCATTTGCTTTATCTTGTTCTGTTATTTGTCCGTACAAGATAGGAGTCACTGCATCTGGAGCTTTCAGTACCTGTTCTGGAACTGGCAGATTATATTTAGCAACAGGAGAAGCCACTGCACTCGCAGAAGGAGGCTCCAGACTCGGCGAAGCATCTGGTTTGTGGTTTGTTGCTTGTTGATTCGTGGCATAGATCGTTGGTGGTGGTGAGGACACAGTTTTCACAGGAATGTCCCCGATTTTCGATGGTTGACGAAACAAAGGAGTGTCCACTACAGCCGTGAGGTCAGGGACTACGCCATGTTTCCCACCTCCAGGACCGTTCCTTACTTGATGATCAAAGTAACTCCTGAGGTTTGAGAAGGGGAAGATCTGCGGTGCTCCGAGGGATGTGGGTATGACACACATTGTCAGAGCCACCTGTTGGAGGAGAGAAACATCACAGGAAGATTAGTGGAACATATTAAATAATCAGTCGTTTCATAGTTGAGGCGGTTAGTCAACCGCCAACCGGGCTTGATCCCAGCTCAAGTCATATGGGATTTGTGGTGGACGAAGTGTGACTGTGGTAGGTTTACTCCGAGTACTTCGGTTTCCTCTACCAATTCTCACTCCACTGACTGCTCCACACTTATCCTCATCTATCATTAGGGGCTGGTACGATAGACCAATTACTGGCCGACGTACCAAGTGGACTCAGTGTCAGCCTATCCCAAGAAACTTAAAAGAAAATAAACTACTCCATGAAATGCGGATTCCTGCAATTTTATGTAAAGAAGTGGATCGTCTAATACAGTGGTTGCCAAACTTTTCCAGTTTCTGGAGAAACGTTCGGAAAACCTTGACAGTCTGAGTACATTTATCCCATCACTGGAACCAGGAACACGATAAGAAATGCAATATGTAATTTAATATTACATCGTGGCCTGTGCATCTCAACAAATAAAAAAACTCCGTGGCCTATAGTCCGCAAGCGAACTATACCGACCGAGCTACCGCCGCTTGTCAGCGATGTTAGTGCCAACTTTTGCCGATAGATGTTGTTACGTTGTCAGCGCAACTGATCCCCACGGAACGTTAATCTCGATTTTCTAGAACGGATCTCAACAAATAATTCAGTTACATTCTTATTTATTTACATGCAAACTTAATAGCCTAGAGGCCAATTACAGATCAAGCGAGCACGAGATTGGAGAAAAATATAAACGACAAAACAAGGCAGCGAGTGGCCTGTAACAGGGAGCACAGAATGTATACATAACTAAAGCTACGTTATAAACTACACTAAGAATTATACAATAGATATTAAACAAAATAATAATAACAATAATGGAAACAATTCAATTATTTACAATATATGTGTCGAGTCAACAGCTGCAAGGCCGATTATAGACACAGCAGTGTAGATACAGGTAGCTATATTATGGACAAACACAACATGAAGACAAAGACTAATCACAGGCAAGCAGTGGAGGAAGAAAGCATATTAATATGTAAAAAAACAAACAAACAAACAAAGTTGATGAAAGACAACAAGAACACGATAACTAAGCACTCCATAACACAGAATATTACGATTATTAAAAATATTATTAAAGTTTAGATTGATGAGAATGAATGTGGTTGAGAGAAACCGCTCCGGTTGCAAATATGTCGAGAGCTTTGCCCTCCGCGTTGGCAGCAAAGGCACACCGAGCAGAAGGGAGTGTTTATTAGAGGTTTAAGCAATGGGAAGCCGCTAAGATTGCTGGGAGGAACGCGAAGACTAACGTTTGCAACAAGGGAAGGGAAAGGTTTAAGGCCACGATAGGCTTGAATTCAAAGAAAAGAAAAAGAAAACGCATAACGACAACAACAAAGTGCTCTAATAGAGTGACTGCCTGGTGTTAGCTTTTAAAAAATAAATCAACGAATAAGCGAATCATCAATTAAACTTAGATGTGGCCTGAGAAGCCTAGCGTGAAGTGTGGCCGCCAGATGAACAAGCAGTTAGGGACACGGCTCGCGCCGCGTCTGTGAGGAAATGCCTGCCTCAACTGAGCCTTTCTTAATCAGTTTCCCAAAAATTTCACCACAAAACTGACACACTTCAATTAAAATTGCGTTATATTGCCTATTGGAATCGAATTCTTGAATCAAAGAAATCTTCAAGCTTATCGCTTTTTCACTTGTCACTGTAACCTGCGCGTTGAGTAAGAGCCGTGATGTTCGTTGGTCTAGAACGCATAATATCCGAGTTTACTATAGTTTCATGGGCTTATCTACCTAACAGTATACTATCACTCTAAACAAACTTAATTCGTTGCATTAATCAGGTAGAACAAAATAAAATTAAATGCGTTTAACCTCGCCTAACTTTATAAAACGTAGCATAAATAAAGTACTGTTAAATTGACATCGCGTTACGGTGAATTTAAACAGCACGGAAAAGAGTTAATCAACGATGAAGGGAAATAAGGATCACACAGTTATACGCTGGTTTTCCCAGCACAGGTTCGTTGTTTTTATTATTTGAAACTTTACTTTGTTTAAAACTCTCTAAATCACAATGGTTACCATATTGTGGCATACCGCCTAAAAGCCAGAATATCTGAGCCGGCGTCCATTGCTAGACAACAGCTTGTTAAAACACGTTTCCGAGACAGCGCGTACAAAGACGTCCATTGCCGAACAACGGCTCAATAAGCGTTCTCCCAGCAACAACTAAAGATAAAAATCAACGTGTTACCTAAAAATGAAAGCGTTCTCCCAGCAACAACTTAAGATAAAAATCAACGTGTTACCTAAAAATGTAAACACGTTTATGAGACAGCGCATACAGAGACGTCCATTGCCTAGCAACGGCTCAATAAGCGTTGCCCAAGCAAAACTACAGATAAAAATCAACGTGTTACCTAAAAATGAAAACACGTTTATGAGGCAGCGCATACAGAGACGTCCATTGCCGAGAAACGGCTCAATAAGCGTTGCCCAGCAACAACTAGAGATAAACAACGTGTTACCAAAAAATGAAAACACGTTCCCGAGACAACGCAGACAACCCTTATGGAAACGAAACCCTTCAAAGAAGTTGTCTTCTAGTCCGTCCGACTTTAGAAGATATGAGATCAGAGGAGAGCAGAGCAGACGTCTGATCAGTGGCGAACGGAACAGAGCTGAAGATCAGATAAGAAACCAGCTCAGCCAAGAACCAGAAGACGAAACGGGAGAGACGACGGACTGGTCAGGTCGCAACGTCTGTAAGACGCTATTTCAGTGACTGTAAAGAGTTGTCCGATAAACAGCTCCGTCTAATCCGGAATCAGCAACTGTACTTGTCACGAAACCCCGGACACGTGACAATATGTACCACCTGTTTTAGGCACATCGTTTTGCCTACAGGCTACATTTATATACGTCATGTGATTCTTAGAATTCACAACGTAAGGTTATCCTGAACTGCAACGACTAATTGGTCTTTAAAATTGAGAAACAATGCGTTTCCTGTGAGGTACGGACTGCATATTTAAGTATCGTCACGTATTAGGAGTTTGCGTGACTTAGAAAACGGGATTTGGATTTGATGATCGAATTTATTGGACTTTTATACAACTTTTTACGACATTTCACAAATCACTATCTTTGACTGGACACTCTCGACTTCTGCGCACACTACACTAATCCATTACTCTCTCTGAACTGTCAGTTATTGTTGGCTTCTTTTTATGTAGCTTCGGGTAGGACCACGCAGAAAACACAACAATTGCCTAGCAACAGATGCCATCTATCGTTGCCTATTAGTTGCAGCGGAATGTGTTTACTGAGTCGTTGCCTAGCAATGGATCTATGTATCACACTATGTACAGGACATGTGTGCAGAAGACTTCAAGCCTGTGTCTATATTTAATTTTTAAGTGGCACAAGCAAATAAATGATATTATTACCATCTTTTGTCTGACAAAAATAGACCCTGTACTGATGCTTCATGGCAGTTGTATTGATAAGTACAGCTAGACTATAAACAGTTCCCGCTGCCTATCGCTCATACAAAAGGACATCCCGTGCTTTCTTATGCATATTAATAGAGTCTGGATCCATAGGTTCTACTCTTGCTGTCCTATTAGTTCGGTGAGACAGATGTTCACTTCCTATACATCCATTTGTTCCCACAGATATTTATGATATTATGAACATGTACCCCAGCGAGCTAATGAGATAATGAGATATGTCGAACCTGTTTCGCTCACAGTGGCCGCGCGGTCTGAGTAATAAACGGTCTTCGTCCTCTCAAACACCGGGATCATGGGTTCGAATCCCACTTGAGGCATGGATGTTTATATGCGTTTATTCTGTTTGTGTTGTTTTGCATGTAGGTAACGGCCTTGAGCAATGATGCAACATGGCAATTGTACTGAAAACTGCTGCAAGATTGTATGAGCACCTCATGCCCTCTCTCTTCATGCTAGAACTTTGTACGCCACCTCATGCCGTTGGGGTTGCTTCGAGGGTTGGTTTCATCATGTGACACAGGACACAGCATTGTTGCTTCGAGCCGTCTGTACACTGAAGTGGAGAAACAGTCCACGTGATCTTAATTAGATTAATAAAGCTTCTGTGATTGTTATAACGCACCTGAAGATTCAGAAATAAAAGGAAATTTCTTGAAATCTTAACGTTTTCTGACACTTCAGATCGAACGGATTGGCATAGTGGTCATGTTCACCATTCGCAATCCAGAGATAATTCCAATCCCGGTGCGAAGACTGACTAATCTGACCGAGATATTTCGTGGTATTCCTCAGTCTCTACAGGCAAATGCTGGATAGTACATCGATTGGAGTCTTAAATATAATTTTCATGCATTCAACAACACAGAGTTCGATATATTGAAAGCGCTGTCAAATAAACCATACGTAAATAAAACACAACCAGTCACGGTAGCCGAGCAGTCTAAGGCATGCACTGTCTTTACTCGTTCGGAAGCCGGGATCGTGTGTTCGAATCCCAATCAGAACATGGATGTTTAGTGTTTGTGTACAGGTAGAGACCTTGCGACGAGCTAATCACATGCCCAAGGAGTCCTACCGAATGTCTAAAGGCGCGTCCACATTACTCGTGCTCGTGCTCGCCAGGCTTGTGCTCGTCGGGAGACTTGTCTGGCTTTTACTTGTGCTCGTAAATCTTCGTCCACACTACTTCAGTTGCTCGTCAGGATTCTGCACTTGAGGATCCGTATATTTACTCGTAGTGTGTATAGGCTGTAGTCGTATTTTAATTTATTGGCTATAGTTTTTAAATTTAAAATTTAAAATTTGCTTGTCTCGTGACTTGTCATATCGTCTACAATACTCGCGAGCATAGCGGGTCACACGAGCACGAGCACGAGTAATGTGGACGCGCCTTAAGATCTCGTAAACCGAATTGAAACGGAGAATTTTATT